AAGTGTGAATTTGGATCTTCTGAGGGTAAACCTCCAAATGTGCGCCTCTCCATCATGCTGAGCAGGTTCGTTCTGATTTCATAGGGGGCATCGACATCTGGGATGGCTATGCTGTTATGGACGATGGTGGTTGGTGGTTGTAGGAGCTGGGACATGGGGATGTAAGGTCGCACAGGCTGAGCCTGTTAAACCTCTGGATGCGCTCCTTCATTGAGTCTGTTCGCCATGGGTTGTTGTTTCTGTTTGCTTTTCTTGCGAAACTCACGAGCTGTCCTTTCAATCTCCTGCTGGAAGGTTAGAGAAGGCTTCTTGCTCCTGGTTTGGGGCATGCACCACCTGAAAACTTCAAACTCGGAAAAAGAAAGGGGTAAGTAACAAAAGGTCAAATAAGCCAGAAATAGAAAGTAAAAAGATTCGGACGCCAGTCCCCGGCAACGGCGCCAAAAACTTGATGCGTGCTTTCCTGCAAGTGCACAGGGTTGTTGTAGTACTTTATCAAGGTCATATCCACAGGGACTGGGTGGAATCCGTTTTCCTTCTATCTTAGACTAATTAGACTTGAAAGCAATTAAACGGTGATGGATTTGGTGAATAATTATTAAGAAGCAAAATAAACAGTAAAATAAATGTAACAATAGACTAAATGAGGGAGAGAACATGAATAGTGAATTCTTAGGCATCCGGGATCCACATGCCATGATTTTTGCTTACGAACTGCTCTACAGCCTCAGTCACAGACTGACACTGTGATGAGGCTGTGACTAATGAGATGTCTTGTCGGGGCTCCCAACCTAAGGTACTGTCAACGACTTTCGATCTTATTAATAGTTCCTTAAGCTTCCATCTACCCCCTGTCACTAGTGCAGACGTCCACTTAGGGATGAAGTTTAATGTTGGTGCTGGTTCCCACAGCCTCTCCTTACCTTCTTTCGAATGCTTAAGGAGTGAAGGTTGACTATTGTAGGTCTAGCACTCCTGGCTTCTCCTTTCGGTTCTTCACCAGGTTGCTACTGAAATAAGAGTATGCTACCCAATAATCAATCAAGAATCAAATTAGGAGGTGGTTATCTCTTGACTATGCTGTCACAGACTGAGGCTGTGCTTGACACAGCTCGACACTGTCGACAGTAACATACACTGTGACAGGCTGAGGCTGTGGCCGACTAAAGTGTCAATTATAAGGATTGGTTCTTGCAGGCGCTCTCAACCTATACTGAACCCATTTGTTTTCACTCACAGGTTCCTCCCAAGGTTCTCATCTTCCAAGTGCTTTCGCATAGGTCAAACTCAAGGGGGATGAAGATTTGGTGTTGAGGCTAATTCCTCAATTAGTTTCTAAATCTGTCACGAGTTAAAAACTAAGGTTTGGTTGTTGTTTTTCTGGTAACTATGGTTTCTTCTTTCGGTCCTTCACCTAGCTACCTAAGTTCATGCATTGGTTTGATCAGAACCTAGACATGGATTAATAACTCAACAACTAAAGCAAGAAGGAACGGGTTAAAACAAGAGCAGTTCATTAAACACAAATCGGGTACATGCTTCCCCCTTCAACCTAAGAGGGGTTGTTTAGTTCATGCTCAGAATTGCAAAAATAATGGAAATAAAGATGGGCATAGGTTTTGGAACAGATTGGAGGTTAGGGGCGACACAATTTCTGCAGAAAAACCTCTAGAATCGTGTACCCCCTTGAAAACCCAAGGTTCTGGGTTTAAACCTCTGTTCCAGAACTTTTGTGATTTTCTGGGTGTATGATCTCTGGATTCCTCGATGCCAGGATCTCCTTTCTCCTCTTCTCTTCACCCTTTTTGTAGATGCAGCTCCCTTCTCTTCCTCCTTCCCACCTGCTGGAGAGCATGGGTGTTTGGGCAAGTTGGCTCCTCTATCCTTCAGCGTGTGTGTCAGGATAGGCATGATGGGCAGCAAGTTGAATGGTGGATTGTGAGTTCCAAGGCACCCTTTGCAGAGGATAATTGTTCTTTAAGGAGATTGCCTTTGGATGTCATGCCCCCATTGCTTCTTTTCCTTCAAAGTGCTCTGGGAACGTCAGGAGAATGATTGTTTATGTTAGTGGAGCAGGTGGTGCAAGTGGAGACAGTCTATTCTTTTTGCATTTTCTGGGTTTCTGCAGGATGCACAGCCTCACGCTGTGGCTGAGGCTATAGCAGTTCTCCTAAAATTCTTCCTTTAATTAATTCCTGCTTCTTTTGCCGATGGTGAGATGTCATGAGGACTTCTTGGATCGAAGTAAGGGCAATGAGATTTAGTATAAATCTAGTGATTTGAGGGTGGTTTGAGACCTCCAATTGAATTCTCGATGAACAACAGCCTCAGTCACAGCCTTAAGGGTTCTGTCACAGGCTCACGTTGTGCTGAGGCTGTATCTTCAAATTCTTCAATGAAATCCTCCCAAATTAGTTGAAATGCACCTGAAATCACTAATTATGCAGTGAAGGATAGGAATACAGGAAATACGACGGAATTATGCATAGGAGGCATATAATAATGAAAGAATGAGCACATATCATGCCTGAAATCATGCCTAAAACTATGCATATTTCGTGTGCATCAGTCGCACCCCTCACATCATTTTCAGGTTACCTGATCGTCGGTCAGGAGTGCATATTAGAGGGTGGCGACGCTTTCCTCTCTTTGGGTTGGATCCATATGATTGCATAACATCCATGTTTCTTATTTATTTGTCTTCCGCTGCATACTCGTTTATTGTATAATTGTACATTGATCATGATGATTTATCGCTTCCCGGGATAGAAGGGCAATCTGGACATTTCACTTCTCATAATTAATTTAATTGACTATTTTGGGATACGGGCGTTTCAAATTTGCTCTAAAGAATGCTTATGATGAATTAGAAAAGGGATATGCTTGTAAGAATGATATGTGTAAAGTTCTTAAAAATGAGAAGAATGTTCTTCAGAAGCATGTTATTGATCTAAAATCTTCTTTAGAGAAATTTACTGGTAGTACCAAAAACTTGAACATGTTATTAGGATATCAAAGAGGTTCTACACAAAAAGAAGGTTTAGGTGCTACATATGTGGTTTTTGAAAAACCAAATCCTACTGTGCAATTTGTTAGGGCAGAACGTAGTATGCCATACAAACCTGATAATTCACATCTTAGGAATACTAGCACACACAATTATATGAATCGTTATGCTTCTAAGCCAAGAATGTCTAATCAGGTTAATAAAAAACCAAATAGAAGGAATATGTCATATAGGCCTGATATGGTTTTTCGAAAACCAAATCGTAGTATGAAGTATCATGGATTTAGAAGAAACACTTATGTGCACTCTTCTAGGAACTTTATGCATACACATTATCATGCACCACGTATTACTTGCTATTAATGTGGAAAGAATGGACATGGTATCAAGACTTGCTAGATTAAGAAGAGAGATGAATATGTTAGATATATGTGGGTTCCAAAAGGAACCAAATCTAACCTCACAGGACCCAAATTAGTTTGGGTACCTAAAACTTAGTTGCTTTTTGCAGGTGACAAGGGATGAATGGACCCTAGACAGTGGATGCTCAAGGCATATGACCGGAGAGATGTCCATGTTTTCATCCCTGACCATGAAGGACCGAGGAAAAGTAACTTTTGGGGACAAGCCCAAAAGATAAATTCTCGGGTTTGGTAACATTGACTCTACTCCATCTATTGAACATGTTTTGCTTGTTGATAATCTTAAATATAATCTGCTTAGTATGAGTCAACTCAGTGATAAAGGCTTTAATGTTACATTTGAAGCATCTAAATGTTTAGTTAGTTCGGTAGACAAAGATGTGGTATTTACTATTACCAGAAAAGGGAATGTCTACTCTATATGCTTTGATAATACTACTAACTCTGATCTTAAGTGTTTAATTGCAAGAGCAGAAACACCAACTTTGTGGCACAGAAGGTTAGGGCATGCCAACTTGGACCTCATATCCAGATTATCAAGCAAGATATTGGTAAAGGGTTTACCCACACTCAAATATGAAAAAGAAGCTACATATCGTGCATGTCAGCTTGGTAAATTTAAGCCAACAAGAACAAAATGACTAGTAACTTAAATTTGAAATATATATGGAGTATTAACTAGAAGCAAAAATTATCATTTTATATTTTTGCGGATCCCCATGGGGCGAGTATTATGATCCCATCCCTAAATTAGTCATAGGTTGAAAATCCTCCCGATCTCCATCCCCGCAGATCATTAGTCGTAGCCATCCCATCTCCACGGCAGGGATTTCCGCGGCAGTGGAGATTTTTCCCATTTCTGCTACCCCGCGCCAATTGCTGCAGTCCTATTAGGTGTATTGTAAATGTTAAGCCTATTATTGTAAAATTATTTAAAAAATTATAATACGATAGGCCGACCTCTAAATATAATTAGGCCAACCTATTAATATTAATAATTTTAAAATAGTATTTGAAATAGTCTTTAATGTTTAAATTTTTTTTTGTCGAATCTTTAATCTTTAAATTTACATACAAACAAAATTATTTTTAAATAAAAAAACTTATCATTATTTAAATTTTAAAATTAAATTTAGTTTGCCAATAGATAATTAACTAAATATAAAAAATAATTCAAAAATTAAGATGATACTCATAGAACACCATAAAATGGTATATCAAGTAATAACTAATAATGTCACATCGTCCTTTTTATCGTCCTTTTCTAACATATACTAACGATTCCAATTTAAGGGCGACGACATAATTTAACAGTATTATATTTTGAAGAAAACGGTATTACACCAAAATATGGGACGGGGCTATCGGAGAAAGTTGATGCCGAACTGCATAGGCTCCGAGGTGGCAGTGGCTACTGTAGGCCATAGATAATATGAGTTTGAAGCATTGATTAAAATCTATTTCGGAATACTTTACCTCTAGGGAATCGGGAAATTCCAAGGCAGGAATTGGAATTTCCTTTTACCCGGCGATTGGGTGACTATTGACCGGATTGCAAAAGCATGATTCTGTCAAAGATGGAGTTCGCTCAGAGATACACTAGGGTTTAGCGTTGCAAATTCTAGCAGCTCTTTATTACATTCAAACAAGGCCATATCCTCTTCACTCAACGTCAACCATGCTTCTATTCCGGCAGCATCCCTTGTATCTATCAGCAAGAGCACATTCTTTATTGATGTACTCGCTATGCTCAACCATGCTGGCTTCCCCCATCCAAAATCAGCCTCGTATAGTTGAAATTTACACCAGCTGCTGCAGTTGTAAAAATCAATGTCAGTACTCATAGCCAACTCTTCAAATTGTTTGGCAAACCCACAAATTGCTTTCGAAGACCCGTCTCGTTGAAGTTTCTTCGCGTAATTTTCATCAAATTCCTGGTTCCCTCTTCTTATCAGACCCACTAAGTCTCGCAATTCTACCTCGGCATCCTCCATATGTGCTAGGATGGAGCCAACACAATTGCCAGCATAATTCTCTGGCAATGGCGGCGCGAGCCTTTTGCGCAAATTGACGCTAAGAGACCATACGGACTTTCTATGCGCTCCCAGGTTAGATCTTGATGCCGCCATTGCACATTTCCAGATGAGAGCGGACACGGCTTCCACCCGGGTTGGCGCTGCCACACTTTCGCCTGCTGCTTTCGCTTTGAGCATGCGTATCTTTGCGGAATCGAAAACAAACCTTTTCGTAGCACATTCTCCTTGCATCAACTCAACTGAGGAGGGTCTGGTGAATGTCAAATCCATGTCCGGAAAAATGGAAGCACCCATGAATAGAGGGCTGATTACTTCTGTGGATTTATGAGCCGATCCGCTCCAGCATTTGACGAATGTAGTTAACGTTGCCGCATCAGCGATCTTATGTGAAACACAAACACCAATCGCCATGCCACCACAATCAAAGATATTGGCTTGGACAAGCAACATGCTTCCGGTGGCCGCTTCGCCTGATTCTATAGCTGCAGGCAGGAGCTGTTTCAGCAACTCTGCCTCGGGCGTTACAAGAAACTTTGAGAGAAGACATTTGATCCGAGCTTCAATGTACTCACCTCCTTGGTCGTCACATTCTATGGAGGCATTGTCTTTGAGTCTGCCTGCTAGAGGGTAAAAGTGAGTTAATGTTTCTGACAGAGAAATTTTCAGTTGCTGGCATCTTTCTGTCAGTGTTACGGAGTGATCTTGGTTTACACTTGCAGGATAAAAAAGGATGAGAGACGTGTAACACACAGGAGTGAACTGGTCCAAGAGAGAAAGCTTGAGAATTCTTTTGCTAGGGGGTGTAGAAGAAGATGGCTTAATAGTTTCTCTCAGCGTGATCTCAACTTCCATATCTTAAGGTTGGTATTTACTTTGTTGCTGGAGGCTTCTTGCGTGCTAACGTAAGATTTAAAATCGAGGCTTATAGGGATGGAAAGGTCCCCTATGGATGATGTAGGAGTATGGACAGATACAGCAGGAGGTGAGGGAGGAGCGGGGGAAGGCGTAGGAGCATGGGCGGAGACAGGAAAAAAATGGTAACTGCACATCACGTGTTTAGATAATAAAAAAAACATTTTATAATTACTGTTTTTTACGAACCTGATACATTAATATATAATATAATTATTAATATAAAATATGATTGTCAAATTATTCAAATAAAAATAATAAATGAAATTAATTTCTCAAAAAAGTCATGGTGATTCTTGTTAGCCTAAAAATGAGCTAATTTTCTTATTAATTTTAATTTGTGGACCAACTATGTTTAAAAATAGTTTATAATGGCTTTTGATGAGTAATAAACAAATTGGAAGGAATGCATTAACATATAATGTACTGATTGAAAATGTAGGAGGAACTATGGAAGAAACCATAAGCTTGTAAAACTTTTTGCCTTGTTGCAACTTGTGGGTGGTTTGCACACCCATTGAGGATCAACCCCCTAATGGTCAAGATTGGAGAACAAGTAAGTGTGAGTTTTCGACCCAAAAATCATTAGGCTTACTCACCACCTTCTTCTTAACTGTCATCCACTTCTTTGGAGACGCCACCCGAATTTTATTATAGGACAAAATTAGGGAAAAATCTTCCTTAGGCAACCAATGACTCCTTAAGGCAACCGATGAGCAAACCAAAGATGTGGACCCGGGAGTTTGTCATGGATGGGAAGGTGTTAGGCACCCATCCATGTTGGGTCGAAATCATGTGCAATTAAAGATCAACATTTTCCATGCACAACAACACAAAAAAAGAAAAAAGCAAAACAAAATTGAAACACAAAACAAAAAATAAATAAAGATTGAGATTGCGTTTCAAACCACTAGAAACTACCTACGTACCCCCTATCATCGGTTCAAAGCTCACGTAGTTCTTAACATACATCACATGTTATCACATCATCGGCATTATCACGACACAGCAACAATCAATTAAGAGAATTAGAACGAGTTACCTCTTGAAGCCCTCCTCTTGCTCGTACTTGCTTACCACTCCATAGTAGAATTTTGGCAGAACTTCAACGGGTAATTCGATGTGGAAGAAGGCCGAACTAGTGTCTGGTGTCAACAGCAAAGTTGTAGATCTATTTCTTAGCATCTAGAGACTCCATGAACGCAACAAACCAACGTCTACAGCTCCAGATATGGCAGTTTTTCTGGGATTGCCTACACAGGAATCCTCTACTCGGGGTTGAGGCCTTCCTCCACCGATTTGCCTTGACCTGCCTCCTTCCTCTTCCTCTCTTGCACTCCTCTTGCTACTCCTCTCCATGAAACTCCTCCAGACTTTCAGCCCTCAAGAGGGTTCCTAAGCTTGGAATTGGAGAATTATTCCAAACACCTAAGCTTATGTGTGTATAGAGGAAGAAGGGAGAAATTGTGTGTGATTGAGGGTGAAAGAGGGGTCCTATTTATAGTGTTTAGGGGGTCTGGACGTGGTGCTGATCTGAGGGTCAGGATTGAATCCCTAGATCCAACGGTAGATACCCAGAATCAAGAGAGCAGGAAAACTCTTGAAAACTACCCAAAACTGGGAGCGATGTCCGCCAAGCGCCTGCGAACACCCAAATTTGACCCACGAATATTTTGCTAAAAATTTGATTCCAAACATGCTTAACTTGAGATTAATGAGACGATTTGATTTTAAGTCAAGGCATGATAAGACTTCAATTTAGTAGAATTAAGGTACATTACATTTGCTTGGGCTCTTTTAGTTGTTTTTAATCCAATTATATGATGATTCAATTTTTGGCTTAGGAATGGGTGTAAAGGACCAAGTAAATGGCTTCTCCAGGGTTTACTCAGCCCATTAACACATTTCTTGTAGGTTAATTTTAGCTCTGATTTTCCAATCGTGGAAAATCAGAGTTAAATCATCATTTATGTAGAAATATTATTTTTGGCATGATTTAGTATGAAATAGGCATTAAGGTGTAATTAATCTGTTATGGAATGATTTAGGGGGAGTGATAATCAAGTAATGGAGTGATTCTGGGTTGGTTGGGAGTTAATTACGCTGTAGGATCAAATCAGGGCTGAATTAGGGGGATTGGGGTCCGAAAAAGGAAAGAACGGGTGACACGTGGGGCAACCGGCAGTCATCTCGTGACGGCCGCCAGGTGCTGGCGGGCATCAACTCAAGACCGCCGGCACTGGCGGCCAAGCAGCGGATGACCGCCGGAAGTGGCGGTCATGTCCTCCCAGATTCGCCCAGTTCTTCGATTTTGTTTCTAATTTTGATCGTACGCGGTTTTGGACCAGATTTTCGGGCAGAATCTTCACCATTAAGTAGGTCCACGCCACTAGGCATCCCAGGACACTATAAATAGGACCCCTCACACACATTTCAGGGGATCACACACTTTTCTCACATACACACCTATAAGCCATGAGTGCTTGGAGAAACTCAATTTCTCCAAGCCTAGAAATACACTCTTTAGGCAGAAACTCTGGAGCATTTTCGTGGGAGGCATTAGCAGTGGTCTAAGCAAGGAGAGGTCAAGAAGAGAATCAACCATAGAGCCTAGAAACGACAAGAAGGTAGGTGTAGAACTCAACCCATTGCAAAGAGCTAGAGGAGGGCTACAAGAGGTAATACAAAACTCTATTTTTTTATTGATCTTTGTTGATTATATACTGATACTTGTGATGATGTAAGTGGCCGATTTGTGCAATGTTTAGAACTGCATGGCTTTGACCTCAATCACTCGGGTACGTAGGTAATCTCGGTCTTACAACGGGATGCAAGCCAAATCTTCATCTTCTCCCCTTCTCTAAATTTTTCACACATGCACACTTGCACCAGGAACACTTGTGTTTCATAATTGCACATAGTCTCGACCCAACACCGATGGGTGCCTAACACCTTCCCCTCTATGACGAACCCCCGATCCCATAACTTTGGTTCGCCATGACCATGTAGCCTAAAGAAGTCATATTAAGGTTTTTCCCAAGTTTTGTCCTGAATAAAACTTGGGTGGCGACTCCATTGTTATGAGATTGACACGAGGAAGAAGGTGAAAGGATTAGGTGAATAGGCCTAAATAATTTTGGGTCGGGTATTCACAGTTGGCGACTCCACTGGGGAAGTAGTGGGTTCAAGAGACTTTGTGCAATTGTTAGAACTTGTGTGCCTTTTACTTGTCATCATAAGTGCCTTGCATTTATGACAATTGATGTGAAGCCTTTACCTTAAGAGGGCGAGGGAATCCAAATCCGCTACATGCTTTCCTTAAGCGATAGTGGTTTGAGTGAACCTGCTTCTCGATGCTTAGCAATGATGGAGATCAATTGGCCTTGGACCTCACGCGATATCCATTATCACATGTGACAGCCTATTCCCTAGCGGCAATCTTTTGGCCCCCAACTAGCTGCATGCCCTGAGCATCCCATGCATTGTGAATCAATAAGTGGTATGTGCCTTCGTATGAAATGTGCAATGTGGTGTATGTGTGTTGTATCTTGTTATTTTGGGATTCGAATTTGTGCATACACGAGATCTCGAGGAAAGAGGAAAGAGGGGAAGTCATCCATGGCAATTAAGGGAGGAGAACATTCCAGTGATCCACCAAAGTTCAGAGGAGATTCGTTTTGATGATTCGAGTAGATGCCCAATTACCCCAAGAATTTGAAGAGTTAGGACTGCATAACACATGTCATTTTGCATTGGGTTTTAAAAGAAAATGTAGTGTGCCAAATTGGGAGTCAATCCATGTTCTACCTTTTTCATCGGGACCATTTGTTACCAACCTTCTTTTAAGCCCACCTGAGCAAGGCACAGAAACCCACTTCTTCACTTTTGACAGTCAAGAGGGACCATGAGCAATGAGCATGCTAACCAATCTGAGGGTGGTACCGGCACAGGAACGAGCCTGAGGGGAAAACCCACGGAGGACGACTTCCCAGTTTATGAAGACCAGAGTCTCCAACAAGAGATATAGGTACTATCAACATTCCGGACTTTGATGGGCCAATTAGATGAGACGATCCTCCGTGGGGTCTTGCTCGGCCAACCATTTGCCCAAGTAGCCATGAAGCAATTCCGAGGTGCCATGGGACAGTATGCACTTGTTGAAGATGTGATGTGGGGCATCCCACTCTGGAATGCCGCACTCACTCGAGAAAGCATCAAGGCCAAAGAAAGTCTCTGGGAATGCATCCAGGAGTTGCGGGAAAGCAAGTGGGATGATTGGGGTGATGCCACAGGATCCAAAGAATACTCAAAATCACATGATGACATGATGACCGATAAGGGAGATGAAGACAATCCGGTGGTAGGAGACGAGACAATGACGATTGAAGTCCAACATGACGACCTGAAGGAAACCCGTCACTATAGTCCCACGAAAAAAGCTCGTGTACCCGGATAAGGTCGAATGGGTGATGGAGGGAGATGCTTAGAATAGCTAATGGGTAGGATAAGAAGTCTTAGGGGTCTTAAAACGTCGAGTCTGTTTTCTTTATATTCTCAAAATAAAAGAGGGTTGAAGCCTATCCATGTTAACTTGACCTCGAGGAGTCAATGTTGTTGGTCTCTTGTTAGTGTCTTTTGCTTACATTCATATAATGGATGTTCTCATGCCCCTCATTTATGGAATTGATGTCTTAAATCTTATCAGAATTTATCAACCTAGTTTGGGAACCATAGAATGAACTAGGGAGACCTGATCTAGTAAATCAAATCTGTTTCGAATCGAATGCTCTTTCTTGAAGTAATAAGCCTGGCTTGTGAGCTCATATCTCTCGAAAAAAGAAGAAAAGTAAAGAAGAAGAAAGGATAAAGAAGAAAAAAAAGAAGCGAAAAAAAAAGGAATGTGCACCCACAACCAACGTGCCATTTAAAATTTCTCGAGA